ATTAATTTTATTTTCTTTTTTCTTTTTCTGTACCCTTGAAGCATTTAGTAAGTTATTGATTTAATTTTCGTTACTGCAGGTTATCATCGATATCGAGTGGGGAGCTTTCGGTGATAACGGAGTTTTGGACTTCATAAAAACAGATTTTGATCGCGAGAACGACGCAAATTCTCTCATTGTGAATTCATTTACGTAAGTTAACAAACTTGCATTATCTTTAATTGGATTATAATTATTCTGTTTGTAGAATTAAAGTGGATTCATTTCCAATAAAATTGTATTTTTATCAATTTGTCCACACTTGTAAGAAAAAATTAACATTTTGAATATCAAAATTGATTAACTAATAATTGATGTAATGAACGTTTCCATTATATAAGAAATGATACGCGTGACGAATTATTAAGTGAAAACTTTTTATTAAATATATTATATGTATGATATAACTCAAGAATTTTTGAAAGTGCGCAGATAAGTCTGTGCAAGAATTCTTAATTGCTAAATTTAGCTAGGACGCGAGGATTTGTATCAAAAAGATCTTTATATATCATTGTAACTTTCTTTTTTCTTCTTAGATTTGAAAAATACATTGCTGGCAAATATCTCGGTGAGGTGGTGCGCGTGATACTTGCGAAGTTGACCAAAGAGAGGCTTTTGTTTGTAGGAGATTCTACATCTGACAGTCTCCTAACACCCGGTAATCTTACCACCGATTTAGTATCGCATATCGAGCAGTAAGTTTATTTTTATATTAATTTTTATTAATGCAGATTAACTTTAATCTCTGTTCAATTTACTTTTTATCTCTCTCTAATTCTAAAAATTTTTATATCTTTTTCATTTTTAATTCTCAAGCCCTGTGTCCACGATGCTAGAAATTGGTTCGAGATCTCAGATGAAGAAAAAATTGATCATCATATATTTTAGTTACCAAATGCCTAAAATATGATTTGTTAATGATTTATCTCTCCACACAAGATTTTAGAAGTGGAAAAAAATGAAGAGAATTGAACCGAGATTAAAATCAATCTATATTGATGCATAGAAAAAACGATTTTGCTGAAAGATTTTCAATTTTGCTGGACATAAATTTTAAAATAATAAATTTTGCTGGATCACTAAAATAATTTTGTTGGACACTCAAACTGGTTGCTAGAATATCAAAATTTGTGTAAAATAATTTATTGTTTGTTTAGTTTCTAATATAATTATTTCTGACGAAATTATTTTCATCCGTATCCAGCAACATTTTAAATCTTTCATCAAAACTGTTCTTTTTGTGTGGAAGATTAACGGGCGTTAATCTATCGATTGAAGATTCACAGATATTTATTTTTAATTTCGTAATTCTAGGGATTCGTTAGATGGCGGCGATAGTAATACAAAGGAAATTCTTGGAAAATTTGGCATCATTCCGGACGAAGATGACATCAGAATCGTTCAATATGTGTGCGAGGTCGCCTCTAATCGCGCAGCTCTTTTAGTATCAATATGTATGTCAATATAGCTTAAATGGCGTCTGTGAAGCAAAGATTTAATACGTAATCTCATCGATGATTTCTGTTCAAGGTCTTGCAAGCTTGCTAGATCGCATCGATAAAGAACAAGTAACAATTGCCGTAGACGGGTCTCTCTACAAACATCATCCTCGATTAGAAGGTTGGATGAAGCAGTATATCTCGCTTCTTTGTACTCCAGGACGAAAGGTACGTATAAGTACGAAAACAAATATCCATTATTCTAAGTCATAAAACCATTTCTTTGTTTAGAAAAAAGTATTATTTAAATAAATACTGAAAGAAAATCTTGAAAGTGTGCGTTTTATCGCGAAAAGTATAATGTACAAAGTTCTGTTTTTATAACCCTTTGCAATTATAGTTTTATTTCTTTCGTCTGCAATTGAGAGTGTTTACTTCAAACATTAAAATCGTTATTTAGTAAAAATTGTAATTTGAGAAAAATGATGAAAATATGAAGAATTATTGAAAAATGTATAACTTGGCAATAAGGAAACCCATCTTCCCATGTTGAGAGTAAAATTTTGCTTGTTCCAAAAAAGATCCAGATTACAGACGAAAGGTTAAAAATTAAAGTTCTAAATGTACACTGTTCAAAACATTTTTTGATTTTTTGTGACATACTCCTCTATTCTCTTTTGTAGAAATAGACAATAACTGTTTCACTAAGTATTTGGACACTTTTTTTCCATAAACTTAATATTACCTATCATTTATGAATATTTCCTTTGTATAATGTTTATTATTTTTATGTCGATTTCAGTTTAAATTAATTCATGCGGAAGATGGAAGTGGTAAAGGCGCCGCACTCGTCTCAGCTATTGCGCAAAGACTTAAGAAGCGGTTACAATAACCGCGAATAAATGAATAACGTCCACCTGTCGTTATCATAGCGCAAAGTTATGCGAGAAGGCATAGAAATGTTCCACCAGCAGGTTCTAATTCAATTCTAAATTATCCACGAATATATTGTATTATTCGCAATATTTACACTAAAAGCAGAATTCTGATGGATTGCACGCGTTTCAATATATCATCTAGGCATTGTGACATTACATTAAGATACATTTGTATCAATTTTGTAATTAAATGAAATATCCAAAAGGTATATTGATTGTCGATGCGAGAGGCGTGCGCGTTATTTTAAGAAAGCAAACATACGCATGTCAAGTACGTGAGAGAATTGTAAGAGAATGAATTATAGAGAGAATATAGAACAAAGAACGATATATTATTTATTAAATGAAACTGCAAGGGGGGGGAACGTATGCGCGGGAGAGGTGAAAAGTTGTTGTAAACGTTTTGGAAACGTTCCTTTTTTGTACGAAAGAAACCAAGTTGTTATAATAAAAAATTAGTGAAGCAACACTTTATTTTAATGGTCTTGTTTTTATTTCCTATTTGATATGATTGATATTTTAACGTTTTTAATTAATATTATATTAACCCTTTATTATTTATATATGGGGTGTTGAGGATATCTCAGTCAAATTCGAGAAATGTAAATGATATTTACACACATTATATCTAGCACAAAAACCGTTTTAAAATTAAAAAAAATTATTAAACTAAATACAGATGAGAATAAGCTATTTATAGTCAAGCTGGATCTTAGATGCTTCTAATTTTATATTATCAATCTTTAAATCATTAAATAGAACAACGAAAATTAAAATATAACCATAGCCAAAATATTAAGCATCTATTTTTTTTTATTTATCTAAAATTCTTTTATCTGTATTGTTACTGTTATCTGTATTGGTTATTGACATTAAAATTTTAACTTACAACAAGTGTTATAAATTAATTTTTAAACTAAAACTTTAAATAATGAATATTTGGTCAATTGATTTGTATTGTATAATTTTGGGGTATTAGAAATAAGTCACGCAAGTATATTACTTGAAAAAAGAACCACGTGAGTAATGATTATGACTAATCGCGTACGTAAAAATTTAATTTCAAGATCTTTTTGAAAATTGAGAGACAATTTACACAATTCTTATTATATTTTAGTGTCTTATTTTAAGTAAAGAAGGATTGCTGAATGTCGAGACAGTTTGAAATTATCGCATGTTACTAAGAATCACATAGAAAATCTATTCTAATCGTTTTCAATTTTAAACTTTCTCGATATTCAAACACTGGTGTTCGCGCTTAACCGGCCGCCATGATAGTTCTTGCGGCGCGTCGGTTCAGAGTTACACGAAGTGCAATCGCTCCGTAATTAATCGCGAATTTTGTCCGTTAGGAACGCACGAAGAGGCGCATTGTTTTGAGAAGTACTGATTAAAACAACGGACTATCGCCGGAACGTATTGGTTGTCGCGAATTCTCGTAATTAACGTCGTTTTGTTGATCGGGATCATCGTCGCCGCAATCTAAAGGCGGGAAAAGCTTTGGTAAGTACAAATTCCGATGCCTAGATACTTAATTATGATTTTTATGTTATTTCGGGCAGCTCTTGAAGTGTGATTAGCATACTTATTCTCGTTTAGCATAGCACGTTGGAAGGCTATGTTCCAAAATTCACTGCCAGCACTATGAAAATCTATTACTTTATGTGTACTATATAGATTTACAATATTGGCAGTGATCTTTTGGAACACAGCCGAAAATTCAAGCCCTCGTATGTTCTATATGCTCAATAGAAGATTACATTTTTCAGCATATATAGCAGCTATTTGTACGTAACGATTATATTTTTTAAAACTATTAAAAATTTGTTTGAGAATTCTTTACGTAATTTTTCAGATTTTTTAATCTAAATTGAAATATTTTTAAAGAAAGCTGAGAAAGAGTCTATTCTTCTATTATAAGAAAAGATAATATACAGACTTCCTTAGTATTTTTTTTAATATTTCTAATTTATATTAAAAAAAATTGAGAAATTTCCTAAAAAATTATAAAAATTTGAAAAATTCTCACATACTATATCTATATATCTGTTTATCCTTATAAATACTTTAAGATTTCTTATTTCCGAGGAAAATCTTAAATCTAAAGAAGTTGAGTTTTTTTTAGAAATCTTCGTAGGTTTAAAGTATAAATTTTTTTTAAACGAAGGACAGTACTAGCAAATGTATAACAATTTCATAATTTACAAAATCTTTATAATTTTCCCCAGTTATTTTGATCTTTCGATAACTACAATTTGAATTTATCGGAAAAATCAGTTTTGCTGAATTGTTGTATGAAATTGTTTAATACAATATCACAATAGTTGCAAAGCTGCTCTTGGGTGCAAGACGTAGCCGTTTAATACTGGCCGCAATTACTGTACAGATTTTCTTTACTTATTTTGAATATCAAGATTATTATATATTACGGTTCGTGGTCACCCACGCGCTATCGTCATTTCGAAAGCGACGGTCGTTCCGAACGAGTCAATCGTCGACGTTCCGTCCGGCGACGGTAGATGGCAGCAGCGACACGAACGCAACCTGTCTCGGACTCCCCGTGGTCGCGAAGTGACAGCTCGGCGAGCTCGAGCTGTCATCAGCGGTGTTCGCGCGCGCGTCTCACGTACCGTGGTCCGCGTTTACCGTGTCGGGAGTATACGTGCCGGTGCCGGTGACGCGCAGCGTGCTCGTGCCGGTTTACTCGGACGCGTCCCCGACAGTGTCACCGGTGGTACGCGTTACGAAATCGCGTCTTTTTTTCCCCCGTCGAAAAAGCCGAACGGCCGCCGCGCACGGTGGGTGCGCACGCAAGGGAGAACGGCTCGCTCCGCTCGCCGCCGCCGGCTCGGCCAGTCTACTGGAAGATTCCATTGTGAGAGTGGGCTTTCGAAAAGTTTCGCGGAAATCACCGGCGAGACCTGCCACGGACAACCGTCGCCGAGCCACCGGGACGCCGTCCAGGGCAGACCAGGTACGGTGTCCAATCCTGTCGACGGCGCTTTTTACGAAAATTCCTCCCCGTCACTGTGTACCGTTTACACGTACGCGCGTTCGTGTAACGGTGCGAGGGTGTGCGTGCTGTAAGTGTGAGAAAGAGGGAGACAGCTTGAGGTTATTACAGCGGTCGCTCTCTCTGGATTCAGCTGGGCTCTCAGCTGATGCACCGACCGACCGGTTCGCTCTGCTACCGCGGCTCGATTCCGCGAACGTGATACAGCCGCACGTTCGTACCTCGTCGTTGACCAAGTCGTTGACGATGACAGGCTACGGGTTAATCACTAGAAACGCTAATTCTCTGAGATTCGCTGTTCGCCGATTACGCGGGCCCTCCTGTAATTTACGCGTGATAGAGGAAAATTACAGTTTACTGATTTAGAGCCGTTGATCAACGGCGGACGCGACCCCCGCTCGTATCGAAGGTACGACAGAATCGGAGAGGGGAAGAGGGTTTGATTAAACTAGGGTTAGCGCTAACCGAGGTCGGCGGAATCGAACGCTCTCTCGGCATCCTGTGATGAATCGAATCGCGTCGATTTAATGTCGGGTTTGTGTGACGACAGTTGTTCGTTCTCACATTTCAAGTGTATAATAGTTGTTTGAATGAAGCTTTCGCAAAAGCGTCAGTAATCATTTTTGATTACTCGTGAAAACCTCATCGTTCCTTTGTTCTCGATGCCATCACCCACCACAACCTCCATTCGCGCGGCTGCTTTTTCAGTGATTAATGTCCGTTTCCACCAATGTAGATTAACTTTAATCTCAGTTCAACTTATTACTCTTCATCCTTTCTGATTCTAAAAATTAGGAAAAGACGAAGAATAAGTTGAACCCAGATTTAAGTTTATCTGCACGGAAAGAGTGATTTTGCTGAGGTGTCTAAAAATTTAGTTGGATACCAGATCTGAAAATAATTTCGTTCAAAAGAATTATATAGAACACTCAAGAAAAGTGAACGATATTACAAAAAAATTTGACAACTATTTTGTTTGAATTTTACATTATTACTCAATTTTTTTATGGAAAGACGAAAAATATATTGAAGACAGAGATTAAAGTTATTCTGCACGAAAGAATGATTTTGTTGAGGTGTCTAAAAATTTAGCTGGATTCAGATTTGAAAATAATTTTCTTGGATCATCAAAATAATTTGTAGAACACTAACGCATAATGAACAATATTGCAAGAAATTTTTACATCTTAGCAACTATCTTAAGTTCTACATAATTATTTTGGTGATCCAATAAAAACATTTTCAGATCTGTATATAAATTTTTAGATTCTTTTCGTATATTAGCGAAAACGAGCGTTTGTCCTAAAATATTATACGTTATGCGACGAATGGAATTATTCTCTGGAATGACTTACCATTGTGAATACTTGTAATTTTAATTTTATTGTAATCGCCAGTGTAATTACCATGAGGTTCTTTAAATTTAATTTGCTTATTATATATACAGTATCGCTTTTTCCATCAATTTTATAATGTTCTTTAAAAGAAAATAAATTCTTATTTTGAATACATCTTGTACGTATATAATAGATTTTTAAAAATTTATATAATAAGTATATTTTAAGATATTATCAAGAAAAAATATTCTTTATTAAAGATGAATCTTAAAACTGAATCTTAAGAGAAAAGAAGTAAATTAAGTAATCACTTTTTTAAGCAATAAACTAATATTTTTCTGTATGTAAATATCGATTTTGTATCCAAGAAAGTATTACACCTCTAAAACCAAATCATAGCTGTTAAAAATTTATTTTCGTGATTAGGTCTATTTATTTTATAATAAATATATATACGCAAAGTTTAAGATTTTTTTTAATTCCACTTGCTGAACTTCCGTTGTCAGATCTATCATTTGGACCGTCCATCTTTTGCGCTCCTATAATGTTCAAAGCATACAGGAATGACTCTCTTTGCCCTCTTATATGGGTACGTGACACTTTGTGCATCGACGATTTCACCTCACGAGATTCTCGCGGAGCGACGATTCACAACCTCGACGACGCATATACCAGCGACGTCAGTATTACAGTGTATAACCGGATTGATATCTTTCGAAATGGACAATCGCGGGAAAATTGGTATCTCTTTTTAGCAATTACTACGTGACTTATAAATCACCTCTGTATGGAAAGGGTTTTAAAGTCTAAAAATTTAGCTGGATCTCTGAAAATAATTTTGGGCTATAAAAATAATTAAGTAGAACGCTCTTAAAACTTTTTGCTGCATCTTTCATTATGTTTGTGTTTTCTTACATAACTATTTTGATGATCTAATATAATTTTTTTTATATCTGTATCTACCTGAATTTTTACTTGAACAAAATTGTTTTTTTTACACTGTTAAATCTATTGTATCGTTATTTTACATTAAATTTTTTTTATTTGATATACAGTGTCAAATTTAATTATCGTTTTAGTATAAAATAACGATGTATTTAGTAGGAGCAGTGATGACTTATATTAGGTTAAATTTTGACACTATAGATTAACAGTGCATATATTATGAAATATTAACGTATTTAAGTTAATTTATTATATCCTCCATATATGAAATATTAACGTAATCGAATTAACTCATTAGAGGTTCTTGTAAAACGGTTGTCGAAAGTATAAAGATATACGGTTTGCTCCATTTTGAGGATTCTCGCAGTACGAAAAGGTACTTCATCAAGTAGCGTGCTTAAACTACATGAATCGGTATTACACGGTGGGTATAATTGCACAGGTGGGAGAACTCATTCATCATTCGCGTAATTTCGACCATCGAACGGAGGCAAGTCCGATTTAATCGCGAAGAACTAGGATAATCTTGTTGACGTGAGAATCTAAAAAAAATATATATTTATCGTTCGCTACTCTTCTAGCACGCTCTAATCATGAAATCTCATTATGAATTTCTCTCTTGAGAATAAGAGAAAATAATTCGCCGACGACCAAAGTAATCTCGTGTAATGTCGTTCATTCTGAAGTGGCTCGTCTTTATGCTACTCTTGAGAGGCATTGTCGAGAACGATGCCGTATACATTGCGCGAATTTAATTCTGGATCCTTATTATAAGATTTAATTATGCGGGGCATTCCGCGCGTTACTATTGCATAAACCATTCAAATTATTTCGCGCGAGTTAAGCATGATAGAAACAGTCGTATCATAAAGTATTCTTTATTCAACTTCAGAGATAATAGAATTTTAATAACTTCAGGTAATATAGAATTCTAATTTAAATGTGTAATATGAAAATATCATGGAATAGACGGTTTTGCTGAAATATTTAAAAATTTATTAACTAGATACAGATTAGAAAATAATTTTGTTAGATCATTGCTTATCATGCTTGAGATGTTTACGTAATTATTTTAATTCAACATTATTTTTAAGTCTGTACTTAGCTAAATCTTCCCGTATATTATACAATTATATTGAATACACATTTTATTGCGAGTTTTGGAAAATAATAAACGGTCAAAGTCTTTTGTTGTTTACATGAGGTTATATTTATTATTTAAAAAAAAGTTCTATAATTTGTAACGCAATGCAAATTTTCGTGGAGATTATCTTTCTTATGCAATATCGTTCGCAGTCATATAATCTGAACGTATTATCTCGCATCTGATCGGAAAGCGCGTTGCAACGCTGCGAACGCCTCTCTCGTGGATGGGAGCTTCCTGGAGGGCGTAGGGATTCGCACTAAAAGGGCAACGAGAGCAACGTTGTCGCGCGCGGCACCGTTATCGCGTTCGCAAATCAGCTCGCTTTTCCGCGAAACACCGCCACCGCGCGTTGCAACGTCGAGGTCACCGCGCCCGGTTGCAGCTGAGCTTCCAGCTGACGAGCGGAGGCTGCGACCGGTTCGCCATGCTCCTTCCTCCCCACCATCTGTATTTCCCTCTCTCTTCCTCGTTCTCGCCGCACGTTTCTTTTTCCATCGACCACCACCTCCTCTTTCCCTTTAAATCGCCTTTCACGTGCTCCGCGCGACTCCGCCGTCGTCTCTTTCCTCCTCTTCTCCTCCTGCTCTTCTGCCTTTTCCATCTCCTCTTCCTCCCCCGCTCGTTCGTCCTACCCCTCTTCAGAAGTTCGTATTGTTCGTCGCGCGCGCACCGTCGGGAACGGCCGACTTGGTTGAACCAGTTCCGAACCGTTTCGTTCGCGCGTCTCTTCGGCACGTTCCGCGTGACGGCGAACGCGCGCCGTCTCGAATGACGCGACCGAGCGCGAGAGAAAAGAGTGCACGTTAATTTGGGGTGCAAAGAGAAAGAAAGCACACGCACGCGCTGGTGCACGAGCTTAAACCACATTGTGAGTTGCTTTCCAGCTATCGTCTCTGAATGAATTGCTTAAAGTGAGAGAAAAGTGAATCTTTAGTCGATGTTTAAAAAATAAGCATAGTATATTTTAATTTTTGATAATTTATGGTGATCTACCAGAAAACACACTCTTAAATCTGTAGTGTCAAATTTAACCTAATTTTAGTCGCTACTGCTTTTACTGAATATATTGTCATTTTAAAACTGAGAAAAATTGGGTCGAAAAATCAGAATTAGGACAAAAATCAGAAGTTTCCGATTATCTCGACTATATAGAATTCCGATTAATATAATCAGAAAATTTTTTTGTTTATTTTCAACCAAACACTTTTCTCATTGTGGTTAAATTTGACAGTATTGTTTTAGTATAAGATGACAATATATCGAGTAGGAGCAATGGTGATTTAAATTAAGTTAAATTTGATCTCATAAATTTAATGCACAAAAAAGACAATTTCACTGAATTTTTTTAAAATTTAGATACATACAGATCTGAAAATAATTTTGTTGGAAACAAAATAATTATAATATGTAGGACGTTTAAACTGTTGCTAGTATATGGAAATTTTTTACAGCATTGCTCGTCATGTTTGAGTTTCCTGTGTAACTATTTTGATAATTTTATAAAATTATTTTCAGGTCTGTGTATCTAAATT